GTAATAAATACCAAGCCATATGAAGCTCCATGGATATCTAAAGGTTTATTAAAATCTTCAAAGAAAAAAAAAAGTTGTATGAAAAAATCTTTTAAAAAAAACGTATAAAAATGAAACAAACTATTAACTTTATAAAAATATATTTGAAAAAACTAAACAACAATCAAAAAAAACTTATAATTCAAATTTGTTAAAAAAAACTAACGGAAATGCCAAAAGTACGTGGAGCGTAATTAAAGAAATTATTGGCAGAAAAAATAATGGAATAAGTATTCAACCAAAGAAACTCTTAGTAGATGGTAAAATAATATATAAATAATCAATAGTTGCTGAAAATCTAAGCAACTTCTTTCTTAATATTGGTCCAAACTTAGCTAAAAAAATTCCTTCAAGCTCATCATCGTTTGATTCTTATATAAAAACATATGATAAGGTCATGGACGATTCTAAACTAGATATTAAGAGTTACGATATGCTCTAGATAATCTTAAAAACAACACAAGTGTAGATTTTGATAATATTAGCATAAATGTTGTTAAATCAGTTTTTCATATTATAGAAACCGCTTTATATCACATTTTTAATCTTTCTCTTTAATCTGGAACAGTTCCAGAAAAATTAAAAATTGCACGTGTCTTGCCTATTTTTAAGTCTGGCGATGACACGGATTCTTCAAATTATAGACCAATATCATTTTTACCATGCTTTTCTAAGTTACTCAAACGTATAATGTATAATGTATGATAGGCTAAACAGCTACTTAACAGTAAATAACATGTTGAACAACAAGCAATTTGGCTTTAAAAAAAATCATTCAACTGATCACGCTTTGACCGAGTTAGTAACTCATGTAACCAATGCCTTTAATGATGACCGTTTTACATTAGGAGTATTTATTGATATGTCTAAAGCCTTTGACCCAATCAACCATGTCATTCTTTTAAAAAAACTTGAACATTATGCAATAAAAAACAATAATTTACTATGGTTTAAAGAATACTTATCAAACAGACAGCAATTTTTTCAATATGAAAATGTTAAAACGACAAAAAGTATAATAAAATGTGGAGTTCCTCAAGGCTCAATGTTAGGACCGTTACTTTTTTCTCTTTATATAAATGATCTATCTCGAACATACTAAACTTTATTTTGTTTGCGGATGACTCCAATCTGTTTTATTCTCATAGGGATATTAAAACCCTCTTTAATGTAGTTAATGAAGAAGTAAACAAAGTAAATGCTTTATTTGTAATAAACTTTCACTTAATATTAACAAAACTAAGTTTATTCTATTTCACAAACCAACAAAAACAGGAAAACTTCCTTTAAAATTACCCAATATTAAAATCAATAATATAAATATTACTTGGCAAACAACTGTAAATTTTTTAGATATTATTTTAGGCGAAAATTTAACATGTAGAAAACCTATAAGCACTCTCGAAAGAAAACTTTCAATAAACATTGCAACGATGTATAAGGCAAAACCATTACATACTAAACAAAAACACGCATGTAGAATTGTATTTGGAGTAAAAAGAACTTTGCCTTGTGAGCCACTTCTATGTAAGCTCAATGCATTAAATGCGTTTAAAATTAACATATTCCTTGTCATACAGTTCATGTATCAAATAAAACGTGGACAGTCTCCAGCGATATTCTATCCTTATTTTAGAGTAAGCTATAAATACCCCACCAAGTCCTCAGAAAATAACTTTGTAACTCAAAAGTATAACCTAAAGTTATGTTCTTATTCTATTCAGTAACGGGGTCCAATTTTGCGGTAAAACTTTCAGCATATTGTTAATAATAAAGAAAAAACATTTCCGCAATTCAAATCTAAATTAAGACGTTATTTAGTACTTACGGATTTTAATATAGCAGATTTTCTTTGTCACTTTTAAAATTTTAAAATTTATTAAACTAAATTAGCACCATAAATTTAAAAATCTAGACCATTTAACAATATTAAGAATTTCAATGTCTTTATCATACTTTCATAAAAAATATATATTCTCTTAAAGTTACCTACATATTTCTTGATATATTTTATAATATTGGAACAGAATTTTTATTTGAACTTTGAATTATTTTGAAAGAAAATAATATATACAAATATATATATCGAATCACATCCAGTCTATAACCAAAAAAAAAAAATTTTTGTCATTTTTATTACTATATTTTAATCTTTTTATTACTATATTTTAATCTTTTTATTACTATATTTTAAATTTCTTTTTCTTTTTTTTTTCCAAATATTTTAATACTTTTTTTAAAAAAAAAAAAAAACCGTCATAACTTTTGAACGAAATGTTTGATTTTGATAATTTTTTCACCATTAAAATACTAACGCTCTTTTCAATGATATATAACAATCTAGTAAGTAATTAATTTAAATTTTTATGTAACATACCTAGTATTATATTTCAATTTGTACTAATAATCATACTTTTTGATTATCAACATAAGAATTTTGATAAATTATCTAAAGAATACGATCATTCGTTAGACATTTTACAACAGATTTTTACTATTTTGTTGATATTGCTTTTTTTCTCTCAATTTCTTGATACTTTCGATTCTTTTCTTTTCTTCTTCTTTCTTTTGGTTTCTTTTCTTCAAAATTTAAGCGCATCATAACAAATCGTGGATCCTCACAATATGGCCGCCAAAATATTTTTTCGGCTTCAATTTCGATATTAGAGATGCGCTATCCAGTTATAATATAGATCAGTTATAATATCCACTGCACTGCCAACTAGACGTCCTAGACCAATAACTAAAGCAAAAATAAAACCGATGCAATCCGACACTTTTACAGTTTCACCTAGCAATCTATGTTACTGGGCAAACAACCCATGTTCACTCAACAATGAAAAACGCCAAGAGCTCTTTGCTAGACTATCACCTCTACATAAACTCAGCCGGCCACACGTCATTTTTTTTGTGGAAACTTGGTTCACAGATTTATCAGACGTTGCCGTACCCGGCTACCAACCACATCGCAAAGACAGAGACAATAGGGGCAGTGAAGTTGCAATTTACACAAGAGACGATATCATAGTCAGCAAAGTTAGTTCTACTCAGCTTAATTCAACATCAATTAAGCAAATCTGGCGAAAAATAAAACTTGGTCAAGAACCATTTCTCCTCGGCTGCTTATATCGTCCACACGACGAAAATGATCAAAATCTTACTCAGTGTATCACATCGATCACTACCGCTCAACAAATACTGCCTAAAATAAACAGCTCTGCAATGCTACTGTATGGCGATTTCAATTTTAGCCATACATCTTATGAGCCTATCGAAGTTAACAGTGGCATTGCAACTGTTGCTCACGTGAGAGGTGAGCGTCAAGACGACATCAGGTTCCAGAAGTGCCTTGATGAATGTCACTTAACTCAGCTTATCACATTCCCAACCTACCGTAGTAGTCGACACGTCGAGCCTACTAGTACACTCGACCTTATTATAACAAATGAGCCAGACCGTGTAATCTTCATTAAACAAGGCGATTCTCTTGGTGACACTCCAATGGGCCAAGCACACTGTTTCATCGAAGGCCAATTTACTGTTGCATGCCTCAACAATTCGTTAACATTGCCGCTAATACCTCGACTCATTTGGAGTCGAGCAAACTACGCAGCAATATCAGCACATATTGCCACTGTTGACTTGGAAACAGTATTCACTGCTCAGTAAATGTTCAGCTACCTTTGCCAAGCCTCTTTCGCTTATCTATAAACGCTCGTTTGCAGCTGGTGTAGTTCCTGACTTGTAGAAAAAATTGAATGTAACACCTATTTTTAAGAAGGGGAGTAGGCTAAAAACATCCAACTACCGGCCAGTCTCGCTCACTTCCATACCTTGCAAAGTTTTGGAAAGTATTTTACAAAAAAGAATAATGGAACACTGCGTTGCTAATGGACTAATTTCTCCAAACCAGCATGGCTTTTTTCATCGTAAAGGATGCGTATCAAACTTTTTAGAAACTCGGGACATCATGACGGAAGCAACTCATTGCAGACACGCATTAGACTTCATTTACACAGACTTTGCAAAGGCGTTCGACAAAGTACCATATAAACGCCTCCTTCATAAGCTGAAAGCGTACGGTATTCAAGGCGCTCTCGTTGATTGGATTGCAGCTTGCTAAACAATCGATGTCAACGAGTGGTTATAAACAGCATTGCTTCTGAATGGAAAGCAGTCACTAGTGGAGTGCCTCAAGGCTCGGTCTTGGGCCCATTGCTATTCGTAATCTTTGTAAACGACCTGCCGTACAGAATTACTCATCATATGAAACTGTTTGCCGACGACAGCAAATTAATAGGGATAATTAAAAAGGAGTCGGACAGCATTACTCTCTAAGATAACGTTGACAGAGCAGTGGTATGGTCACACATTTGGCTCTTGCATTTCAACGTTGAGAAATACAAAGTAATGCATGTTGGGCGCGGATGTATCAAGTCGGCGTACAAATACTCAGTGTCTAACGTCGACGGCACCCGTCGTACTCTCGAAAAAACCGCAGTCGAAAGAGACCTTGGTGTGATGGTCTCGAATGATCTTAAAATCAGACCGCAAATAGAGTCAGCCGCATCAGTAGCAAATAGAATGCTAGGCAGTAGCAAATATCAGTAGCAAATAGAATGCTATACTCAAAAAAACATTTCGCAGTCGCAGTTTTTATTTATGGCGCACACTGTATCTCACTTACATTCGCCCCCATCTTGAGTTTGCTGTACAAGCCTGGTCACCGCATTTAAAATCAGACATTACCATTCTCGAGCAGGTCCAACAACGAGCAACAAAAACAATATCGACTATTAAACACCTGTCCTATGAAGATCGACTCCAACGGCTTGGTTTAACAACTCTTGAAGAACGCCGCAAAAGAGCAGATCTTATTGAGCAATTCAAAATCACTCGTAAACTCGAACTTGTCAGTTTTGTCGTCCCGCAAAAATTTTCAATAAGTAAAGATAAGTATATTCTAAGAGACCATACCCATAAACTAGAACGTCAGATGGTAAAAAACTGTAAGGAGCGATATAACTTTTTTTTCAAACAGAATTGTCGCCCCATGGAATGCGCTTTCTCAAGAAGCAGTGAACGCTCAATCCATCAACGCTTTCAAAAATAACATAAGAAAGTAACTTTATAGATACAACTGCTGCTTTGTTTGTAGCGTCTGTATCTCCATGTTCGTCAGCATAGAGGGGCCTGGTGTAGCACCTCTTCATCAAATTATAAATGGATTATTGTACTTGTGTTTGATCACTGAAATAAATAAATAAATTAAAAAATATATATATATAGATCGCGCTTCAGCATTTAAAAAAATATATATCAAACAAAAACAAGCATGTAGAATTATATGTAATGTGCATAAATACACCGACGCTAAGCCGTTATTCCAAGAAATAAAAGCACTTAATATCTATGAGTTAAACCTCTTCCAAAATTTATTATTTATGTTTAAATATCAAAATGACATGTCACAAAAAAATTTTTAATAATCACTTATCAAAAATTAACAGTAAATATTTAACGAGATGCTCCGTTTACAACTTTATTTTACCTAAGTCTAATCTTAAAAAAACAGATTATTCAATTTCATATCGAGGACCTTTTTTATGGAATACAGTTCTTGATGAAAATATGAAAAGTAAAACTTAAATAAAATCTTTTAAAAAGGTTATTAAAACGTATTTGTTTGACTTGCCAGATACAAACATATTTTTGTATTGTTAACAGAAAAATAAAAATTAAAAAGAAAAAAGAAAAAAACATTCTTCTATTATTTTTGGGATTTTCTTTTAATTCTTACAATACTATAAAATCATGTTTTATTAAAGTTCTTTTATTTTTTATTTTTTAAATCTATTTATTCTATTATATTTATTTTATATTAAGATATAATATGAGAAAGTATATATTTATATAAAGTGAACTTGCTAAAGGTAAAAAAAAAAAAAAAAACACTTCACGTTTACTATAGGGGCTTGATGATAAGACTACTGCCTTCTACTTGCTCCTGTCATTTTTTATTTTATATTTATATTTTTTTGAAGCTTGTAAATAAGAACGTTGTAAAATGTTTATATATGACAAATAAATAAATAAATTTAAAAAAGGAATGCAAAGTTCATATCTTTGATTTTATTAATAACATTTGAATATAGTATATATTTTTATTTTTTATTATACTGTACAAAAGTCAACTTTTTATTTTTCTTATAACCACTAACCTTTAGTAACGCACGCCCTTTTAGAAAGTATTGAAACAAGCATATTTTATTAGAAATATGCTTAAGTTTAAGCAAATTTTTGAGCCTCTTTTAACTTTTTGCTTAAGCATACCCGAGTCTGTTTCAAAAATTTCATTTGCTTATAAAAAAAAAACATGCATCAATTTTAAATGTAAAACTGTGTGTATAGAAGAGGTAACAGTGGTTTATCGAGCATCTTTTTGTAGACTTATTTATTATGATTAAAATAATACAAAGAATGTGTAAAAATACATACATTCTTTCATGAACAAAAAATATAACTCCTATTTCAACATATTAACACATTAAAACATTCAACTTTTGACCAATTAAGCCATGATCCTTGGTTACTTAACTGCATATTTTAGTGTAGACTGAACCAAACGTAAAAATATTTTAGTCTTTATGACGTATAGTTTTAATAGTCGCGCAGAAAGATATTTGGCCAAAAATTAACGCCGTGAAAAGCTGAAGATTTAACAAAAACATACATTTTTAGTAGAATTTTAGAAACGTTGTCCATAAAGAAAATGAATTTTTTAAATTTAGTTATAAAAACAGGAAGAGTAATTGAAGGATCAAAATTTGGTAATACTTTTTTATTTTATTCCAAAGATGGTGCACGATATGCAATGCAAAATTGATTGAACTTTGTTCTTCAGTAAAAAAACTATTATTTCCTAATTGGTTTTTTTAACAAAAAATATTGAAAAAATCATTTTTTCGAAAAATTATCTTAATAGCACTAAAATCATAGTCGATTCCTAGTTTTTTCTAGGATTGCAAAAAAAAAAATTGGTATATGCATCTAATCATTGTTTAAAATGATTCAGAATTATTCAGTATCGATTCAGTAGAGCAGCCGCGGGGCAGTGGTAGCGCACTTGCCTCAGAAACAAAGGATCCGTGGTTCAAGCTACTATTCTTTCAGACTGAAGTTTAATTAAAAATATCCCAAGTTTATACCTTTTTAATATGTCGTCAAACAAAGAAAATGTAAAGGATCTTCAAAATATAAACGAAGATTTTAACTTTATTATGAGATTTATTTTACCTAAAAACATAGTTATGCATCTTATTTTTTAAAGAAATTTTGAATAAAGCAAGTTTCAAAAAATAATTAATTAGATGGTTTTTACGAGTCCAAAACTCAGAAGCAACAACAAAAATAAGTAATATTTTGTTTGTGTTATCAGTCAAATACATAAAATGGGATTGTAGCATTACTAACAACTTAGTTTAAGAATTGAACATTTTCAGAAAGTCTCTTATTTTAGGTAACTATGCAAAATGAAGTGTTGTTATGGAGTATAGGTACACATAGCAACCAAATAAACAGTTTAATGGTACCACTAGATCAGTTGCATGAAATATACGTCACCTGGTAATTATGGGGAAAACCTAATAAATATTTTTTATAAGTTAATACTTTTGTCCAGCTAATAACGATTTTTGCCTTTTGATCATGGCGGGGATCGAAACCGGGAATTCTAGCTAACAAAGCTAGCGCTCGACGACAACACTACTCTCACAGATTTGTACTCCACTCCTAATTCTGTTCTAATATTTAAAAGTTTTAAGCAACTTTTTAGTGATATAATAAGTAAAAAATATTTTTTTTTTACAAAATCATTTTGCGTGTGCTTTTACCTTATTTATTTTATTAGTAACTAGGAAAGTAATGTGAAAAATCAAATATTTGTAAAAATAAAAATAAGTTTGTTTTTAAATGCTGATTTTAGACGTTTTAAAAATATATATTACAAAATATAAATCACAAACCTAATAAAAAAAAATTAAAGCTTTTATTTTAAAAACAAACTTAATAAAAAGTTTTTAAAATCAAAATTTTGACTAAAAAGTGTACTTACTAAAATAAACGTGTACTTACTAAAAACGTTTAACTGTAGTAAAAATATAAACTATAAATTAAAAAAAAATCAAGATTATATTTGAAACAATCTTCGAGGTTAAATTTTATGTATATGAGATTATATTGAACTATACTTTGATTTGAATATTTTGCAATTAACACAACTTTATTTACACATTAACATACACAACTTTAGGCAATGAATATTAAAATTCAAAAAAAATCATTAAAAAAATGCTCGAGTTGCAATAAATATAACTCTGTTCCTACCAGATTACAATCACAATATTAATCATAAATATATTTACACAAACAATAAAAATTAGACAACTCCATTATCAATCAATGCAGCTTTATCATTGGTAGGATAGTGATCGTAGGAAGTCACAGGTACTGAGGAGTAAACGGGAGGCAGACCTCCATAAGGAATTTGCTGGTTATAATATGGTGCTTGTGGAACCTGATTGAACTGAGTATTCGCCATAACAACCATGTTAGGAGGCTGTCGAACAACAACCATACCGGGATAAACCTGGAAAGAAAAATTGTATAGAAAATCTTAATTGTAACGGTAGACAGAAAAAATTAAAAATTAAAAAAAGACCTGTTCTGTATTACACAGCGAACAGCAGCTGACATAGGAAGCTATAAATGCGACAAATCCAGATAATGCTACCCCAACAATTATTGCCAAAAGAAGAGGTTGAAGACTTGATAGTGTTTCGCAACTAGCGTTCACTAGAAAAAAAAAATTCATACATATTATATGCGGCAGTGTAGTGGTAGTTCAGCGCCTATTTATAAAGTACCTTCCATTAATTAATTCCAAAAAATCATTGACTGATCATTTTTCATAAATGTTTTTCATAAATCTCCCCTTTTAAAAGATTTGGAAACGCATTCTCTGATAATGTCAAAGCCTTTTGTTTTGCTCCTACCTTAGAAAAAAATTAGTTTCCACTTCATTTTTTATGGTTGAAAAATTAACTATTTAATGGATGTATGAGGTAGATGAAAAAAAAAGGTACATTACAAATACGCCCTTCAAATAAGACATCTTCAAACATGATATGCACATTTAAATGATAAAACAGGTTTACCACCTATAAAAAGATTGGGTAAGATAAGTGATTAAATGATTGGGTAAGATAAGTGATTAAAAGATTGGGTAAGATAAGTGATTAAAAATGTGAAAGTACAACTAAATTGAACCAGTAAGAAAGCATGTGCTATTAATCAAACCATTTATTATAAACTCTGTATATTACCTTAATCTTTAGGAGGTCGGCATGTTGTCAAAAAAAAATTTTAATCAAACCATTTATTATAAACTCTGTATATTACCTTAATCTTTTAGAGGTCGGCATATCGGCAAAAAAAAAAAATTTAAAAATAGATGCGAAGGCCTTACCATAAAACATAGAAACGAGGTCGGTCGGTTTTTTGCCGACCTCGTTTTTTTTTATTTTAGAGACAGGTTAAAGTCGTTTTTTTTATTTAGAGACATGTTAAGGTCAGCAATTTTTTGCCGACCTTAGCATGACTCTAAATTAATCAAATATCTCAAACTCAAGACATCAGCAGTCGATTTTATTCCTACTGACATCCTAAAAACTTGTGCTGAAATTTTTAGTTTTATTATTGCTCATCTAGCTAACATATCATTTAATTCTGGAATTTTACCAGCCTCATACAAGATTGCTCAAATAACACCAATTCCCAAAAATCCAGATCTAACTGGTTTTGATGCTACTAATCTACACCCTATATCACATCTGAATACTGTTTCCAAAATTCTTGAAAAGCTTGCTTTATTTAGACTTCTTCTGCATGTAACTTCCTCTGTTTACTGCAACCCTTTACAATCTGGTTTCCAATTTATTGAACTAAAACAGAACTCCTCAAGATTTGCAATAACATCCTATCAAACATTGATAATGTATCAACTACTATCATCATCTCTCTAGACATATCAGCAGCCTTTGATTCTATTGATCACAAACTACTAACAGAGCGTGCAAAAAACGAATTTGGTATCACAGGAACTGCAATGGAATAGTTGTCTTCACACCATAATCAAAAAAATTTTGTTTTTATTGGAACAACAAAATCATCAATTTCAGATATTTCAACAGGAGTACCACAAGATAGTGTTATTGGCCAATTTCTATTTTCCATGTTTGTGTCTCCCATAAATCTCATTTTAGCTAAACTTGGATGTAATAACCATCAATATACTGATGATACTCATCTGTATACTGCCATCAGACCAGGTATAGACCACATAAACAATATAGCTAAATATGCAAATACAGTCACTACATGGTTTCTTGAAAATAGACTACTGCTTAACCCAAAAAAAAATAGAAGCTGTCTTATTTGGAACTAGTAAACAAACATTTAAATTTAAAGACAAAACACAATTTTTTTTTCAGGAGCAACTCTTGCTGCATCAAATTTGGTAAAAAATCTTGGTATTACCTTAGATTCAACACTCTCTATGGACCAGCACATAAAGAATATTGTGAAATCCTGCAACTACCATATTTGCGCACTTCATTATATTCATCTGTTTCTTACCAAAAGTGCTGCAAAAATAAGTACCTGTGGAATTGTAAAATCTTGACTTGATTACTGTAACAGTATTCTATTGGAATTTCTCAAAAAAATCTCAACATATTTAAAATAATACTTAAATTTAATGTATTCAAGATAATGCTTCAAAAAAATTTGCTTCGTTTGGTCCATTGGTTAATAATACGTCAGAGAATAATCTAAAAGATGTCTGTCATAATTTATAAAACTGTATTAACCAAGTCTCCTGTATTTCTTTTCAATCTCTTAAAATTTCAAACCTCCCAGCTCCCCAGATCATCAGATAGTTGCCAACTTGTACATCGTCAAGCAAGAACATCGCTAGGTACAAAATATTTCTACACATCTGCACCACAAACTTGGTAAAAAAAACGTGTGATTCAACATCATTAGAAACATTTAAAATAAGACTTAAAACAAACTATTATATACTATTATTATTATTATATATATGCAGCCCTAGTCACAAACCCAGCCTTGACTTTATTTTATCAAATCCTGCCCTGATCAAAATTCAACCCCCGTCGTTTACTAAACATGATATAATTTAATGGTAGAACTCCAGCATGAAATAATTACTCTTTAGCCATGAATTAAACTGAGGCTAGAGAGAAAGTAAATTCTTTACAAAGATTGAAATTCCTAATACAAAAAGTGAAGCTCTGAAAATAGGAAGTTGTGTTTAATCAATGTTTCTGGAGGCTCATCAAGGTAAAGAACTTTTGAAGAAATATAAATTTTTAACTCTTTTATTTTCTTATATCTGCAATATCAGCAAAAAACTTATTATTACAATACTTTTCAGTAAGCATTCACCCTCACACCAAAGGCATGCAAAACTGCCACTGTGGTCAGATCAAATGTCTACCAACAACAATATTTAGTGTCTACCAACAACAATTATCTCCAAAAGTTATATTAAAAGCAAAATAAAATTTAACAAAGATAAAATACAACTTCATATACAATCTCATCAGATTTATCTCTCTACTCGTCAAATTTTGAATTTAATAAGGATAATTGATTATCCATATTAAATTTAAATATAGTGACTGTTTCTCCCTAATGTAAAAAAAATCTCCAGAAAAAAATAAGAAATTTAGTTTTAGCCATTTAAAAAAAATGTCATTTAATTTATTCTTTTCACTAGAATCATAAGAATGTTTTTTATATATTTTATGTGTCAATTTTTTAACTATATATTTCAGATATATAATTAAAAATTGTGTATGCGATGTTGTTTTTTCAAAAATATTTAAAGCAAAATTTTAATATTTTTAATTAATCAATAAATTTTATAATTAGCTTTTTAACTTTAAAATTAATTCAAAATGTTTTTTTAAAACCTAATAATAATAACTAGTTAAAAAAATAGAACTGAACCAAATTTATCCTGAGAGTCACAGGGGAACACTGTGCTCCAGCCATAATTCAAAAACTTTTCCACATCAAATAAACAAAAACTTAGGAACAAGACTGTTTTTACTAGTTTAGTTTTTTTCTACTAGATTTTTTAGACTTTCATACAATAATATTAGAAAACTCAGGATCAAGTTTTAAAGACCATTGAAATAAATACAAGATATATTAAAAACAAATGAAAAAAAAAATTGATGTGGCGCATCAATATATTTATTTGTCATTGTTGTTATGACATATTTATGTTTCCTCAAAATCTGATATTTATCAGCAAATTCTATTAAAATTTTCCATTCTAATTTCTATTAAAGACAATAAAAGTATTATAATGCAATTAAACCTTATAATTGTAGTATTTTTTTTTTAAATAAAATTTATTAAGAAATCAAGACCCTAATAACAGTTTGACATCACTGTTATTAATAACAATCGACAGCACTGGTCAACCTTAACACTTTTATTAAGCTTATTTCAAACATTTTAACTTGTTACTGGGTATTGTTTACCAATAAATAAATAAAACATAATTTTGTCTCTGTATATCTTTAACACAAACAACTAAAAAAAGGGTAATTCCATATGAAATCATCCAAAAAAAGTTATTTTCCACACTCTTACACCTCAGAATTTGTTCATTTTTAACCTGCGAAAATTTTAGTTAAAAATACACATGTTCCAGAGATATCGTCAGTTGAAATAATGCTGGAAAAAAATAATGATTCAGAACTTTAGTGAATCAACTACAAAGGGACTATCCATAAATGATATCAGTGATTTTTTGACCTCCCCCTCCTTTGTCAAACTCCCCTCCTTGTCATATTTTGGCCAAGCCCCCTTATATATGATGTCAGTTGTTGTACCCCCCTCTCCTAAAGTAACATTAAAAATATGCGTAAACACTATTGTTTTTTTTCTGGTTAAAATATACATTTATATATTAAAATATACATTTATATAGTAGTACATCTCAGCAAGTTATATTATAGAACAGTTGATACCTCATCAAATAATAAATAAACTAATCAAAATTGTATTCTATATCTATAATATATATTCTTCCCATGGGTTATTGAAGTGATCTTCAATAATAGTGACAATTATATTTGAAATAATGACAAAGGACTTCATGAGTTAGCTTTGAAGCACATTTTATAATTCGCTAGGGAGCAAATAGCGATTGTTAAATTTATATAAAAATAATTGACAATTTGTAAACAATTAGATTTTCAGTCAAATGGTAATACAATAATAAAACGTTAGTAAACTTTTAATTTATTTAATGTCTCTGGGAAGCTAACATCGAATTCCACACAAAGCAAATATGCCATTTCTATACCACATTGTAGATGTAAATACCTTTAAAAACTGATATCTGTACGTGTCCATGATTTTGGTGCAAGGGTTAACATTTGCACCTTATGGCGATAAGAGTCAGCCTCTGAGTTTTTTTTTTTTTTTTTTATTGCATATATTAAAATGTCTAGATTATTGTTAATGTTATTGTTTGATATGGGGCTTTTTATTTCGGTTATTAAAGAAGTTTCTTTAATGTTATATGCTGATGAGACCATTTTTGCAACTCTGTCAATAGTGTACTCAAACTTTTGTTTTGCTACAGGCAATTAGCTGTGTTTTGAAAGACTTTTCAGTTTGACTGGTGAAATTCTAAGCAATTCTATAGTAGTATTTAACTTAATTTTTTGTCTCACTTTTTGATTCCCATTCCTACTGTGAATTTAAATTTTCATCAGTTTCTACTGCTTTTTTGTAACATTTACTGCAGAATTTCCAACCTGGGGTTACATAAACATTAATTTCTTGCCAAGTCTAGGGAAATCTTAATGTTACCTAAGAAACAAGTTTAGTTTTAAGTTTTTAAAATAACTGAAAATATAAATTTTTTATAAATAATAAATTGTTTTTTCTTTTAACTTCCATATCAATTCTGTTGTAATTAATGTTACCTTTAATAGCAATTTTTTTACTTTCCTTGTGTGTTCCAAAAGGATTGCAATACTTTGTAATTTTTTTTCTCAAGATATTTTCCATAGAATTGCTAATGATAACAACATATAATTCTTATTGAACAACATTTTCCCTTTAAATTTGCTCACCACTTGTTTTTCACAAGGAAGACCTTTGAATTGAACAAAACCTGGTTTTCTAGAAAATCCAGATATGTGACAATGATTTGAATTGAAATAATGAAAACAAATTGTTTCTTAAACTTAAACTAAAAAAAATTATGTTTTTAAATTGAATTTTAATAACTATTTGTTATGAATTCATTTTATTAAAACAAAAAACAAAAATCCAGGAGATTAGTGTAAGTGTGTGGGAGGAGGGGGACAGGGTTGGTCAGAAGCACCCCTGGTCTTGAACCATAACTATAAATGTCTAAACTAGGCAATAAATACATTATTTGATGTTTTATTCAAAAAAATGATTCAAAAAACATTTCAAATGCTTTCGTTGCAAAATTTACATTTTTCTTAAAAAGCACAAATTTTAAAAACAAATTTTGATTTTATTGAAATCAAGTACTATTTAAATTGATTTGATTGAAATTAAGTACTACAGAGACAATTGATGAATCTAATATTTTTCAGTAGAGCTAAGATAAACAATGATATACAATTAAACTTTTTACTATGGATTTCGGGCCACAGTCTTAATTTTACCTCCAAAAATCATGAAAAAAATTGGATAAACAAGGCATTTCCTGAGACAATCGAGTTTTGAATGTGCTATTTTTAGATTCCTCAAGTAAAAATCTATTGGAGTACAAAATTTTAGAAAATTTCTCCAAGCCATTATGAAGATACATAGTAACTGTGTAGTTACTTCAGATAATTACTAAAATGCTGAGTCAGCATTGTTTCAACTGACAATAGGCCGAGCGAATAAAAATGAGCAATTGCTTTTACTCAGTAATTGGTCAGCTTTACATGAATGAAAGCTTAAGGAATTTCCCATAAGTTTTATTCACATAAAGCTGAACAATTACTGAGTAAATTGCTTAACTTTACGTGAATAAAAATTTGAGCAAAACTGCTTTACATGAATGAAAACATAAGGAATTTCGCATAACTTTGTATTTACATAAAGCTAACCAATTACTGAGTAAAAGCAATTGCCTATTTTTATTCACCCGGCCTAATATCTTTGGAACACATGTATTTTTAACTAAAATTTTTACAGTTATTATTTTTTAAATATGGACTGCAAGTGAGGTAAAAATGAACAATTTCTGAGACGTAAGGGTCATGTAGACATAAGTATCATGGTCCGGATGATGCCATATGGAATGACCCAAAACTTACTTGTAAATGAACGTTTATCATCAACTACACAGGTACAGGTGTTTAAAATAGATTTGCAAGAGTTATCATTTATTTCTAATGCCATCCAAACCACAAGTATGAGTATAACAACAACAACACATGCAATCGAAGCAAGCATGCCAATTATATTAAAAATCAAAAAAGCAACCATCTACAAATATTTAAAAAATAAAACAATAAAATGTTAAAAATTTAAAACACTCTGATAAAAAAATATTTTAAGTTTGGGATCCCTTTAAGATGGCAAAAAAAAAATTTCATTCAAATTGTACTACCATATGATACAAAGTAATGCTACAAACTACAAAAGCATTTGAACAAATAAAACTATGCAAACATAAAGTACAAACAAGTGATATTAACTATACAAGAATATAGCATAATTATGCCTAATACTCCCAGGTATTTTTAAGGTAAAGTTATATTGAAGTAGGGTTGACAGATGTCCAACTTTTACGAACCAGAACACATTAAAAAAATTTATTTTAGAGATTTGGCGCCGTTTTCTCCTCCGTAAAAGCTGAACGCCTGACAACCCTATATTGAAGAGTTGAATTAGATAAGGGCTCAAATTAAGTGATTACGAATTGCAATATCTTGAAATATCTGGTCTCTAAATTCATAGCTTTTAAAAACTGTAAATTCTGTTTTTATAACTAATTCAATATTGATGGATCCATAAATTTTTGTTGTTGGTGGTGTGTGTCACACACACACCACCACCAAACAAAGGGAGGGAGGGAGGGAGGTGGTGTGAATGTGTGGGGGAGCGAGGGAGGGGGTATTATGTTGATACCAAAGCTTAAAAAAAAAGAAAAAAAAAAGAAAAAAAAAAGCTCCTTAATTGACAGAAGGGCCTTCAAAAATTTTTCTTTTTAAATTTAGAGGCCTTCCCAAAATACTGCATATTTTATTTTTTTATTTTATTTTATTTTAATTCACCTCCTCAAGGCCGAGAAGGCCACTACAGACGAGGAGGCTACTTATTTGTGGCTATAACCCTCTCTCAACTCTATAACTCCGAAACACGAACCTTGACGAACAAGGCCGCTGCGCGGAGAAACGAGTTGAGCGCGGTACTACCAGGGACGTGGTGGGGATCGAACTCGGAACCACTCGTTTATGAAGCGAGCGCTCTACCACTACACCACTACCGCATTTTTTATTCCCACTTTAATTTGAATTTAATGACCAGAAATATTTCCAGATGTTGTAATTAGTGATCACTTAATTTGACTCTAGTAGATATTAAAAAAACAAACTTACAGCACAAACATTTCTTGTGCATGCAACTACAATTCCAAGAATGCCAGGAACAAACAGCTAAAATAATAAAAATATAACAAAAATTTTTTGTAACTTTAAAACTTTTTGGGTAAATGTAATCAAATGTTTTCCTTTTTCCCTAAATGTATTTTTATTTTCAAAGTTTTCTTTTTATTTTTCAAATACAAAGAGTAAATAGGTTCTTTAATTAAAGGTTTTTTCTTTTAAACAAAGACAACTTTTTAATCAATTCTTTCTAAATTTCGTATCAACCAAGATAATAATTTATTTCAGTTCTTTCTTTTATATCAACCTATGAGGGGACACATTTCTGAACTTTGTTTTTACCAAATAACTGACTATATACTAATATATTGCAATAAAACATTTCTTTAATTAAATTTGTGAAACTTTGAAGAAATTAAATAAGGCAACATGCTGCATGTTTTGCTGTCTTGTAGGACTTCTTTTTAAGCTGGTCTAGTGTAAACCTGTGTTAAATTGTTTCTAAACTCAGTGTAATGTTTCTGTGGCTGGCTGGTGGTAAGGTTTTCCAAAATCTAAGGTAGCTCTTAGGGAGACTGATTCTATCAACAGCTGTAAAATAACAGATTATCAACAGTGCCATGTTTGGCCAAGATGGCATGCGATTTCACATGACCATGCAAAAACTCTGTGATTTTGAAAAGTTGACCGCAGACGTTTGACCACTTTTCTTACTAATGTTTTTATATTTTAATATGATGCGAAAAGCTGTTTAAATAAAGTAACAATTTACATCTAATAATTGTTTAACAAATGTGCACAATTAAAAGTTAAAAAGTTTCTTAGCATTGCTTTACAATAATGTAAACAAAAAAAATAATAATATCGTTTAATTAAAAAGTTAATATAATTTTTTTTTATTTTAGGACATAATAAAAAATACATGCTTAGATAAATATATAAAAATATATATATTATTCATTATTTTTGTAAGAAATCATTAGCAGTGATTTGTTACTTTATTTAAATGCCTTTCAATAATATAAAGATAAGTAAAGATCAAAGTTATTTAATTCAAACAGCTTTTAAAAAATTTGTCTTTTTTTTTCTTCTCAACAAAATATTTCTACTTTTTGAGTTAATTAACTTTAATGAATCTTATATAATGTTTTTTAAAGAGACTGTTGCTGTTTAAAACCGTTGGTTATAAAATTAAAACTTTTTTTCAATAATTTTTACTTTTTAAAATTTACTTATAAAAAAATCTTATAAATAAATAATATAAATAAAAATTTATACAACTTTCAATAATACTTTAATTAAAATCATTAGCTATTTTATTTAAAAGCTTTTTGCTAATATAAAGACATTAGTAAAGACAAACATGTTGAAGTTATTTTTTTTTTTTTTTTTTTTTTTTTTTTGTATTTTACTTCACCTCCTCAAGGCCGAGAAGGCCACTACAAACGAGGAGGCTACTTATTTTGTGGCTATAACTCTCTCTCAACTCTATAACTCCGAAACACGAACCTTGACGAACAAGGCCGCTGCGCGGAGAAACGAGTTGAGCGCGGTACTACCAGGGACGTGGTGGGGATCGAACTCGGAACCACTTGTTTATGAAGTGAGCGCTCGACCACTACACCACTACCGCATTTCATTTCAACATAATTAAAAACCAACTTTTTCAGCGCATTTGTTAAAAACCGTGGTTAAATTGTTAAAACAAAATATTATTTGCGTGGTCATATAAAGACTTGAAATTGCATGCCTTCCTGGCCAACCCTGTATAAGGTATTTTTGTTATGACTTCAGGTTGATTTGCAGGACTAAAAATTATGAGGAAACTGCATAGCTCATTGTTTGGGGTACCATACTCTATCTATAAATGAGCACCAGGCTCATAAAGCTATCAAGTTTTTTTTTAACTAAAAATATGGCTTAAGTACCTAAAAATTTTGAATATAAAAACCATTACCACCACCTAACTGTTACAATCCATCTTTGATAGATATTCACGGCTTTCCAAGTAACATTTTATCAGTTGAATCTTACCTCTTTCAAAATTTACCAAATTTAGTTGCTCTTTGTGAGACTAATTTGAATTTAGTTGATTTATTTTCATATCTAAGTGTTGCTGGCTATTATCCTTTGATTTGTGAAAACTCCAATAATCACACGCTTGGTCTGAGCATTAATTTAGGCATCATTTTAACTATCTGTTATGAAAAAAGGTTTGAATTCTCTAACAATATTTTTTGCGTTTTTTCTTCGCTCGACCACCTTTCTCTTTGTTTTTCATCTTTTTGTAAAACTGAACTCTTTCAGACATAATTTTTGATCAAATTGACCAAGTCTTTTCCTTTATCTTTTATCCCTCAGCCAAAATTACTACTATTAGTGATTTAAATGCTCGAAACACTAAACGATTTGGCTCTAACACAATTGACTCTGCTGCTAAGGCTCTTAAATTCTGTATTTCTGTCTCTTACTCAAATAGTTAACTTTGTGACTCATTTTCCAGACAACCTTAATCACTTACCTTCACTCCTTGATTTGTGCCTTGCCTCTGACACTAACTTGTGTTTACTTTTTCCTTGATATTAATAATGTGGTTGGACCATGCAATGATTTCTTTAACCCTTAAACTTACTCTGCGGACTCAACCTATAATTGCACTAAATACTCACAGAATTATAAAACAGGTTCTAAACTTTACTTTCTGACCTGGGAAAACCCTTTAGTGGAATGATAGCCCTTACCATGGGGATATAAGTATCAAAATCAGATTACAACGTCCTGGCAAGTTATTTACATTTGAATTTTTAAAAAAACAAACATTCAAAACACAAAACGTATTTTAAATGTTTAATATGTCGTAATATATGTAGTAATACATATTAAAATGTATTAATAGACGTATTAAACATGCCTTGTGTTTAACATTATATTTTATTGATTGCACAAACATGCAAAATGAGAGCCTATTTTGCATTTTATAGTATTGAAAATCTCCAATTTACATCAATATAAATAAGGAAAGCAAAATAATATATTCTTAAAGTTATATAAGTCACTCACATAAAATATATTGATTGCACAAACATGCGATATGACATCTTATTTTGCATTTTTACAGCCCAAAACTATGATTAGTTTGTAAAAACTGTTTTAATTGATATGAAACGTATTTAATTATGACAAATAATATTTAACAATTTTCTACTTTTGAATTCTGGGAAAAAGCATGTTGTTTTTACTTTAATAATGAAAGCTAAACTAAGCACATTTAATTTTACCAAAAATGCCAAATATTGCTAAAAACCACCAAGAATGCAGGAAAACTGTTTGTTATCTTTATTTTAGTAAATGTCAAGGAGAGCTAACATCAAATCTAAAAGAAAGATGTCAGATTATACTGAAAGAGAAAATCGCTTTAACGATGACAAAGTTTCACTTGGAATTTGTGAAAAATGTCGCTCTTGTTTAAGAAGGAAGGAAAGTGGAGAGGACATCACACTCCTATCTTTGCATAAGTTTGAGACTATAAAACTTGGACCAGAAACTCAAGATTCTCACTGTGACTGCTTGATCTGTTCAATTGAAAAACTGAGATACAATGGTCAAATGAAAATTGAATTCACGCAAAGTTCAGCAGTTAGAACACCTTATTTAACAGTAGAAATTCGCACAAAGTTCAGCAGCTAGAACACCTTCTTTAAAAGTAGAAAAAAGATGCTCAGACTGTTTTTCAATTATTGGCAGAGGATTGCCTCACAACTGCACAAAAGAAACTTTGAGAAATAATATTGTTGCTGTTGCAACAAAGAATCCTTTAGCATCAGAAAGAATTGCAGCTATTGTTGTTTCAAATAAAGCTCTTTCTAAACATGGAACTGTTTGGTTAAGTCAACCTTATAGTGAAAGAATGCTTCCAGTAACACTAAGTATGAATTTGGATTTTTTTATAGTTCAAATTAATGCCAGATTAAATTTTTAACTTTTTACACTCACTATAGGTTCATCATCAACTAGACAACTTTTCTCTCTAAATTTATCAATAAGTGTAAGAGACCTTGCTCAAGTTCAAGCAAACACAGGGCTTTCAAACAATGGCATCAAAAGGTTAGCAGCTACTATTAATCAGTCAGCCTCACAGATTGTTGAGAAAAATTATGCCATAAAATTTGACAAATTCAGCAAGCAGCTTGCACATCATTTCACAAGTTCATCAAATCAAGATCACCCTGGATGTGTGAGGGCTGCCATACATTGTAAGGACTTCCATAAGCTTAAAAGTAAAATTATAGCCATGAGAAGTACATCAAAAAATCACATTGTAAAGGTAAGAATTGACAGAGGAGTTGGGTTTCTGAAAGTAAGCCTGGGAATTATTGAATTAAATCATGAACCTAGCATTCCCCCAGCAAAACTCAACTGCACAAGCAAAGTTTTTAAGGAAACTGGTGCAAAACAACAACTCATTATTGCTGTCTCTGAGGAGCTTCAAGAAAATAATACTAACATTTTGCAAGAATTTGAGTTGATTAAATTGAAAGCCTAGGAGTTTGACATGTTCTGTGATCCTAAAACTTTCAAATAATATTTGCAAATAGTCATTTTAAGAAGGGATTTATGAATGAATTATTTTTGAATTTGTTCCATTTAAAAGAAACAGTTTTTTGTGAATATATTTTATGTTTGTTACTTAAATAACTTCAAGAATATATTATTTTGCTTTCCTTGTTTATATTGATGTAAACTTTTTTACAGCTTGTAATCTAGACAACATTCCTGTCATAGTCTTACAAAAGCGTTTTCCAGAACTTTTTTCAATTCTCTCTAAACTATTTAATGAGTGCTTGACTAAACCTTGTTTTATTGCTTTCTAGAAAAATAGCATCTATGGTTTCAATTTATTAAAAACTCTAAACCCTTTAACTATTGCCTGATCAGTCTTCTATATGTTTTTAGCAAGGTCTTTGATCAACTAATTTATAACATCCTATCATGAGTCAAATAACCTACTGTCAGACAATGAATACAGTTTTCGATCCTCTTGCTCTAAAACTGACTGTCTTGGATTATCATTCACTACTGACTTCTCAAGGAAACTATAAATACAACCTATTGTAAAGTTAGCATTAAAATTGCTTCTCTTCATTATGCTTTTCGTTTTATTTTGATTCCATTCTCTAACTTTACAAATCTTTTATTTGTTCCTGTATGGAATACCCTAGTCATATTTTGGTTGGTTTTTCTTATGGTACTCTTTTTCTTCTACATTATCAAAAATGCAATCATAAATCTAGTTTGACATGGTTTATCTGCCAAGCCCTTGTCACATCGTCATAAAATTTCATCTCTTTCTCTTTTCTTTAATTACATTCTTTTCTACTTTTCTACTTTTCTGCCATCATTTCTAGTTTTATAAACTTAAAGTTATTCTCACTTGACTCTTCATTCATCACATCATTTTACAGTCTCTGTTCTAAAAATATTTATTTCTCTAGCTTCAATGCCTTGGAACTCTCCTATTTTCATGTTTCATTCCTGACAATTTTTTGAAAATAGTTACAATACTTGATTAACAGGGTAAATAATGTTGTTTTCTTTTTTACACTTTTATCAACTTTAAATTTTAATAATTTAAATAATAATTTAAAGTTATGTTACTTGGTGCATATAATAAGAGTTTTCAAATAAACATTTGGTAAAATTTTCAAAAAATTGGTTAATGTCTAGAGGCTGCCGTGTTATAAAATGTTTTAATTTATGACATATGTTTTACCAAAAAATTCTTCTAACAGACTGTATGCTTTGAAGGAAGCTGTTAGATTGTATGCAAAATATACTTTGGAGTATATTTGACCACTAAGTGTTGTTGTATTTTGCATTGAAAATAAACATCTGTATATGTACCGATAAAATTCCATAAACTTATAAAAAATATTAAATGTTATATAAATTAGAAAAACTGAAATTTTAGGAATAATCTTAAAACTAGTTTATTCGATTTGAATATTTTATTATGATAATGTATAATGATGTTATGACCTATAAAAAAATAACCAAGATTAAAAAACAAACAAGATTAGTTAATTGGTCACCCTGAATCCAATAACTTACCAAACTTCAATCGCCTGCAACTAAAAAATGTAATACTTTTTTTATGTAATACTTGTAATACTTTTTCAAGTAATACTTTTTTATGTAATACTTGTAATACTAATGTAACACTTTATTTAAAAAGCTTCTGAAAGAGATATTTTTAATACCATTTGTTCTTGGTGAGCTTAAGAAAGTTGGGGAAAATCCCAGAGTACTAACTAAATAACTCTTGCCTTTCAATGCCTACAATATTGTTGAAGAAAAAGGTGAAAATAAATAAAATTGAGCTATCTAGTTAAAATGTTGGAAAAGAAAAAAATTGTCAGATTTTGTAATGAACTTAAATAACTCTGCAACATTTCAGCAATAAATGCATAAGCACAACTGTTGATATTACGAAGACCAAAATAGAGAAAAGATTTTATGAAGATCAAGAGAGTAGAAGAAAATATCACATGACAGAATTAATTGAGTTGTTTCAAAATTTTTAAAATGTAAAGAAGCTAGACTGAGCATAAATTTCTAAGATCAAAAACCAAGTGCCTTTGAAAAAATGCTATTCTTCAGATACCTTGTAATCTTGTTTACAATGACATATGCTAGATAAGTTTTTATAATTTTTGTAGTGTCCACAATCACATAAATAAATGCAAAGGTAACAACTTGGATGAATCTTGTATAGTGGTAAATGTTTTTATATTAATTTCTCTCTATGTGTATAATCATTTTTTTTTTTTTTAATATTTACATATTTTTAATAATCAATATTTTTTTGTAGGTTGGAGAAGGGAGGGGGAGGGGGAGGAGTACATACCCCTCCCCCTAAGCGGAATATGATTTTCATTTGTAATACTAGATTTTTTTTAAATAAATTTACAAATGTTTATAGAAATATTTTTAATAATGGGGTGTGTTAAACCACCATCTCTTTATCCACCCTAACAACAAAGTACACATATGAAAATATTTGGTGGTCTAAAAATAAATTACATTAAGTTTTTGTATATAAAAATTACCAATTTTATCAAAAAGAGACGCTCTTCTATGGAAGAAATATGCAATTTGTAGTGGTAAAGATGGTGGTTAGGCACTCTCTAGTCCCCTGGATACGCCAGATGGGTAGACACTATTAAAATTTTTGTAGCCCACTATTACATCTATCTTTTAATACTAATTTTTTAGGCATTTGGATAGGAATTGACAAAGTAATAACAATTTTAGTGAAGAAAAACTAAATTTTGACCAGTTTCTTCAAAATTCCATATATCAATAATTTGTTACTAAAAACCTCATAACTTTTTGTAGAATTGACCAATTTTGATAATTTTTTCACCTTTAAAATATTGTATTAAAAGGCTATCTAATGATATATAATATTTTAGTGTTTAATCAATTTAAAAATTTTATGTCACATACCTTCTGAGTATAAATCAATACTCAGCTTTTAAATAGCTGTGTATATTTGTGAAAAAATAACTATTTTTAAACTGAAATATCTGTGTATGCTATTTATGTGTGTATTTAAGTGTGTATAATCAGATTATGTTTAGTCATAATATTAAGTCGTTTTGATAATGTTGGTGGGGTGGATTTTATATCGTTTTAACTTTTTGTTCTTTTAATTAATTAGGTTTCTTATTTTATTTAGGTGTTACTCCATTAAATATATGTGTAACACTTAATCATTAGGTGTCACTCATATAGCTACTCATTAGGCTAATGTCACCGATTTAGGCTAATGCGATTTTTTTTTTTTAAAAATTATATTTAAACTTGTAATTTTTTTTTAAAGAGATTTTTTGTTATATACTTAAACATATGATAATTAAAATAGATTTATAACTTTAATAATGCATAATAAAAACTTACAGCTAATCCACCCCACCAATACACTCCAAAAGAATAACTAGTTGTACCATAACTTTCAAAAGATTGAAATCGAAAATCATCTGGTATTTTTGAGGCAAAAATCCATCCACATACAGTTGATACGAAACCACAAAGAAGAGAAAGTATTCCACATATTGCAATGGTTAATGCAAAACCCTTTTGAATTTGACCCATGTTAATGTCTGAATAATATGGTAATGGGAGGTAAGAGCGAAAAGTTTAAAAGCGAAAGAACGTAAGAGCGAAAAGTTTTAAAGCGAAAGAACTTAAAAGCGAAAAGTTTGAAAGCGAAAACCGGGAAATCGAGTATCGCGATAAGTTCAACAACTGAAATTTATTGAAATTTTTTCTGATTTTGTTATTATCTCAATGTTATATTATAGATTATTTAGCGTTTGGATTTTATTTTTTTTAAACTGTTAATATTTTTATAATTATAAGTTAGTTGTAGTTTAGAATTATTTATTTGATATTCTAGCTGAGAGTTATAGTTACAGTTAGAGTTTATTAGATTAAATAAATAAAAAAAACTTATTGTATATAGTTTAGAGTTTATGTATATAGTTTTAGTATAGAATTAAATGCATATAGTTTAGAATTATTTATTCATTTGGTATTCTAGCTGAGACTTAAGTTACATTGCGACAAAAAGGTATAAAATCTTGCATAAAAATTATAATTGCACTACAAGTTAATAAGTTATAGATAAAAAAAAGATTTGCATAATTTCTTATTGATATTATTTAATTTTAATTTGTTTTTTGAAATTTATGCATTAGATTTCAAGCAAAAAATTGTTTTAATGTTTAAATAAAAATTATTCATAAAATTAGAAAGATACGAATTTATAATGTTCTTTTGTTTTGATTAGGTATGGCTGTTAGGCTGTCTGCCCTTGATACTTTTAGAAATGATGAGATAGTTAAACCTCAAGAATTGATGTTTAAATTTTGAGTCATAAACTAAAAGCCAGGGCAAATATATCAACACAACATATTTGAAAACGAGACATATAAAGGTTAGTTTTTAATATAAATTATTATCTAGTAGATAATAATATCTTAATATAAATGCTTAATTGGTGGTGTGCAAAGACCTTTTGCTTAAAACAATTGTGCTAAATTTCAGTCTTTGAATATATTGTCAACTTATGATACAATATTAAATTTTTATTATACATCAATTCAAACATCTCTATAAATATTTATGTCTTATCTCTATAAATCTTACATCCATCCCTGCATGGAACACTTTTGCCATATCTTAATCAGATCTTCCAGTAATGGCTTTTCTCTTTTAGACAAGGTACAAAAAAAGAATTGTTTTTGCACCTTGACCTTTGCAGCCAACCTCCAACCATTAGAATATTATCATGTTGCTTTTTTTTTTATTTTTTATAAATACAATTATGGACACTGCTCTAAAGAGCTAGCGTCTCTTGTATCATCTACTAAAACTCACTATAGTGTTACTCATCATTCAATAAAGGCTAATCCTTTAATATGACTGTTCCTCAGTGCCCAAAAAGTTTTAATCTGTTTTTTCGTGAAACTTTTTTTTTTTTTCACTTGCTTCAGCTTGTTTTTTTTTCATATAATTCGCTATCTATTGATTTTTTCTGTTAGTTGTTATTTTACTCTATAAATTTCATCTTTTCTCTAATAGTAGGTGCTTGCAGTCTTGTTGGAAATGAAAATGTTAAAAAAAAAAACATTTCCAATAAAAGCCCTCCAATATATTGTAATAGCTGGGATGTTATGCATTTTACACTTTTTTTTGTGTAACAAAATTCTTTTTTTAGTAATAAAAAAGTTACCAATACAATAAACTTAATAAATGATATAAAATTCCCAAAGAAGTAAACTTAAATTAGATTCATATAGAGCCCGCAGTCATTTTCGTTTTAAAAACTATTTTATCTAGCTTAAAAACAACATAACAGTATACTGAACATTAAGTAAATAAGATAATTAAGGCTATTACAAACCAATCTGTAGACAAAATTATAAAATATTTGTGCTAAGTAATACAAATGTAGAAATAAAAACTTTACTATACTGAGCTCACAAACAATTCATATCATAAATATTTACAAATCATGTAATTAAAACATAAAAAGTAAATAAGTTTCTCACCAATCAATCATCACCATTGAAACTTTTTAAACTAATTAGCCAATTATTCTTTTTCACAATTAATGACTGAATTTTTAATTTTACATGCAAACAATCCAAAAAACATTACGCAGAATAATTTTTGGGATATTGGCATGTTTTTATATTTCAATAAACTGCCTTCAAAAAATCTTTTAGGCATCAACCAAGAAGATTCACACAGTTATTAATTAAATCATACTCTTAAATTGTTCTAAAAAAAAAAACCACATTACTAAATAAGAAAGTAGTTAAAAATAAAATAATCTTCTACTACCTCTTGTAAAATGAACTATAAATAATTTTGACAAAAATGTTGCTGAAATTCAACACGTGGGAAAAAAAAGGACACTGTACAGCTTTCTGTTTACAGAACAAATCAAATCAAAACAACATCATAAAAAAATTGTAGCAAAATAAAATACCTAAAAGTTGAAACAACATATTCCAAGTGTAACAACATCGATCAAGATAATGCCATACATAATGGTCACAATATAAGTATCTTTATTATAGAGACTTATATTGTGATTTTTGACTAATAGACTATAAGTCAAATTTCAGGCAAATGCACCATATAAAAGCCATTTTTGAAAATTCTAAACAATTCAATTTTGCCCTACTCAATTTTCTATAAAGTAAAAACTTTTAAAGTTTATAATAAGCTTCATGAACTTATTTCTGAAATTGACTCACTTCAATTGTAACAACTTTAAGATGACACAATTCAATGAAAAAGAATAATAGATTAACTCATATATATTTATATAAAAATAATAATGTTACCAATGTTATTAAAAAGTTATTAAGATGTTACCAATGTTATTAAGATGTTATTAAATCTTAATAACATCTTAATTTAAGATGTTACTAATGTTATTAAAAAAATTTTCTCGCTTAACCAATCGCATTCGCTTTTAACTTTTTCGCTTTCCCGACCTTTCGCTTTCAAAATTTTCGCTCTTAAAAGTTTCGCTTTAAAGACACCGAACCGAATAATATAGTTATAATGCGTATTTTTTTTTATTTTACGTCTGGAACGCGTTTTTATTGCAAAAATCCTTTGACACTCCAACGTAGAATCCTTTGAACACTCCAACGATCTGAAGTAAAATATCGCGTTTACTTTCGTTTTCAGTTTTATTTTGTGTGATTGATTTATTTTTTTTAAATCTCGAAGCTTATTGTATTTTGTTTTCGGTGATTATAATATAATCACCGAAAACAAAACATTTTATACATAATAAATATTATAACTAGATAATACTATTATCTACGAGATTCAAGTTTTAGCTAAATACTGTAGAGCAGAAGTTATATATAAGCTGAAACGTTTTTTTTTGGTAAACTATTCAAACGACCATATCTTATGGTCTCTATATCTTATTAATCTCTGATTAAGGAAGTAAATTGCTATGAGTGAAAACTAATGTAAAAACTTCGATTCTAACGTTTTTACTGTTTACGAAAAGATAAAATAAAAGCTTTTTGGCCATTTATTGAATATTTTAATGTTGTAAACAAGGAGACATTACTTTCGAATAAAAGAGGCATTTTCGGGTTAAGCATCTAAATGCTTAACACGATGCGTTTTATGTATTTAAGTGGTAGTTTTTTATTTGATAAAAAAAGATTTATAAAAAAATTATAAATTCTACTTTTTAAAAATATAAAACAGCAATAGTCAAAAATAAGCGGAAAACACAGAAAATTGAAGTTTAAAGACGTAAATTTGTTTTTTTAAGAAATGCAAATCGTTCGGATTCCTTTAACTACGCCGAGCAGTGAGAATATAGTCATGATACATAGTCTGGAAGCACGCGGACGCGGAAACTTGAAAACGGTGCGTCGACCCGGCTATCCTGCATAATTTCATAAATAAAATATAACAAAAACATTTGCTCAAAAATATAATCTTTTTTGTACTAAAAGTAGAAAAAATAATTTTTTATTTAAATTTAATTCTTTTGTAAAGAACGTTTAAAAGATGTTTAAAAAACGTTTAAAAGACATTAAGAACGTAACTTTTAAAAATAAATGTCCGAAGGGCAATAAACATTACCAGTAATTAGACAAACTGAAAACTGTGTATATATCAGTGGCGGATCCAGGTCTTTATTCTAGGTAGGGTTATTTGATAATATTTTTAGTATATTCTTTTTTTTAGTAAAGACTTTTATAAGTTTAACAAATTACAATATATAATTTAGCTTTCTAGTTTTTGAAGATGCAAAACTATCAATAATCTTTTTGACATTTATGATACAATCGCTATGGACGTGCATCATAGCTAAGCCATTTAATGGTTCTTGTCGTATATTGGGATCATAACCAAGTTCTTTTTAAAACCGAGAAACTCCGTTCTCCCAAAGCAAAGCTAACAGGAAGGGTGCAAAGCAAATACAAAATACATTAATTTAAAAGAAAGACATTTCCATCACATTTCTTGTATGCTTGTATGCAAAGTAGTTATTTAAAGAGCTTGTCCTCTTTACCCTGTTGGTCACTGTAGCTAATAAAAATAATTTCATTAAAAATAGTAAAATACATTTGTAATTTTTTTATTCAAAATAGTAATAAATACACCTTTGTTTTCTAAATAAGAAACTAATTCGTTAGAAATTAATTCAGTTAATATTTAAAAAAAAAAATTCTTTGTATCTTAAATACAACTTAAAATGTATATAAGTGTAATATAAATTAAAGTGTGCAACTTCAACTGTTCAGAAAAAAAGCTTTTTAATTGAAATTATGTATATTTTAATAATAATTATATATAATAAAATAAAAATATATGGCTGATGAGTGCCGCAAATAGCATAAAACTTTAAGTACCGTAAAAAAGTTGTTTTTTTTTTTCATCTAACCTTTTATTTATTTATTAATCTATTTTATGATAATTTCGTTTTATATTGATCACTCTCAAATCGGAAAATTGGAGTTGATTGTTATCACACAAGCAAAACATTTTAGACTGTACGTCGGATGCTGGACATGTCAAACAAATTACAATGATTTCTCAGATATGTACATACTAAAAATAATAAAATTGAAGTAAGAGAAAAATTTATTAACTTTTATCA